AATATATTTTTGGTATAATGAACAAGTAAAAGTGAACGGAGAGAGTTATGGAGTGATAATTATGTATTAGTTAACAATGATTTATTGATAACCCTATATTTAAAAAGATGTGTTATTTAACAATGGTAGCTAGCTCTCCTAACAACCAACCTTTGAAGGTGGCCAAGGAAAATTTGAACAAGTTATTGATACCTAAGCCTATACAGAATCAACTGGTGCAACAGACTGATGGAATGTAGGAGGATGAGCAATGTGAAAGAGGAAGTAAGGACCTTGATGCAAAATCAACAGTTCAAAACTTCAAGAATGTAGCAAAACAAGGAGATTTATCACCAAGGTTGTTGGATAAGGTTAAATCAGCTGGCCGAGGGAAGAAGAAGAAGCAGAAGGAAATGTCTAGTGTTCCTGGCACTAGAGTACAAACAAGAAGGGCCCTTACTAAATCCAGTAATTAATGACGAATGCCATTATCTGGAATATAAGGTCAGTAAACACAATGAAAGCCTTTGAAAGGCTTGTAACAATGCATAGGCAGTATGAATTTTACTTTATTGGGGTGATGGAGCCAATGCAAAATGCAAACAAATTAGAAACATACAGGAGACAGTTGGGAATGCATCATGCTTTTGTTAATGTATCAAACAAGGTATGGGCCTTTGTCGAAGAAGATTATGAAGTTGATATTTTATTTGACATAGAACAACATCTTTCACTAAGATTAATTAATGCCCAGTCTCAAAAGGAATTCATTATAACTTTAGTGTATGCAAAGTGTGATGCAACTGAGAAGATTGAGCTATGGGATACGATGTATGCACTAGCTAGTGAAATGACTGTTCCTTGGTTTGTTGGGGGAGACTTTAATATGATTGTTGATGAAGAGGAAAAATTTGGAGGTCGGCATGTATCAATGAATGAAGTAAAGGATTTCAGACATTGTATAAATACTTGTAATCTAAATGATTTGGGTTTCAAGGGAAGTATATGCACTTGGTGGAATGGTAGGACTGATGATGATTGTATTTTTAAGAGACTTGATAGATGTTTAGCCAATTTGGAGTTCGAGCAAATGTGGCCTGGATTAGAGATCACTCATCTATCTAAAACGGGCTCAAATCATTGCCATCTGTTCATATCGTGTGATCCAAATGCATCACCAATTAAAAAATTATTTAGATTCTTGAAGTTTTGTCTAAAGCATGAAACTTTTCAGGATGTTGTTGGAGGGAACTGGAAGGCTGATTTCAGTGGGAATTCTTTTCATATGTTTAACCATAAGCTGAAAAAATTAAAGAGAGCTTTATCAGTTTGGAGCAAAGCAACATATGGCAACATTTTTTAGAAGGTAGACAGTCTTGAGGAGTTAGCCATTGCACATGAAACTCAGTTTGAATTGAATCCTACTCCACACAATAGAGAACGTCTTTTGAAGGTACAAGCTGAATTTATTAGATATCTTGCACTAGAGGAGGAATTCTGGAGGCAAAAAGCTAGGATGAGTTGGTTTCAGGATGGGGATCACAACATAAAATTTTTTCATGCCCAAGTCAATAGACGAAGAAAGAGGTTACAAGTTAATAGAATTCAAGATAGTCAAGGACAATGGATTGAAGGAGATGCAATTATGGCTGAGGAAGCAGTAAGATATTTTGAAGCCCAGTTCCACAAGGACAGTGTTCCAACAGCTTTTGGTATACTTGATCACATCCCCAATATGTTGAATACGAGGCAGAATGACGAGTTAATGAGACAACCAACCAAAGATGAGGTTAAAAACATGCTATTTTTTGTCTCAATGGTGATAATGCAGGAGGGCCCGATGGTTCCAATAGTTCTTTATTTCAAGAATGCTGGGATACAATTGGAGATGATGTACTTGACATGGTAAGAGTTTTTTTCAATGGCCAAGAACTGTCCATATTCATCACTCATACGAATTTGGTGCTCTTACCAAAGAAGAAGGAAGTAAATACATTTTTAGATATGCGACCCATAAGTCTTAGTAATTTTATCAATAAGGTGTTCTCGAGGGTTATTCATAAAAGGATGGTTGATCTCCTACCTATTTTGATCTCTGATGAACATACTGGATTTGTTAAAGGGAGGAGTATTATTAAGAATGTGCTTCTAACTCAGGAAATCATCACAGACATTAGACTTCGAACTAAGGTAGGTCCTAATGTTGTGATGAAATTGGATATGATGAAAGCATATGATAGATTATCTTGGTTATTTTTAACCAAGGTGCTAAGAAAGATGGGATTCTGTGAGAGGTTTATTGGCTTGATCTATGAGCTTGTGTCAAACAATTGGTACTTTGTGTTATTCAATGGCCAGCCATATGGATTCTTCAAATCTTCCATAGGGGTGAAACAAGAAGATCCTTTGTCTCCTACTTTATTTATTTTGGCAGCGGAGGCATTGTCTAGAGGATTGAATGCTTTGCATATGAATCTTTACTTTTGTGGCTTTGGATTGCCCAAGTGGAGTCCCAAAATCAATCACCTAGCCTATGTGGATGACACAATTATTTTCTCTTCCTCTGATGCTATTTCCTTGCAGCTCATAATGGAGGTCTTATATGCATATGAAGCTGCATCTGAGCAGCTCATAAATAAGGATAAATCGGCAATTTATATGTACCATTTAGCTAGTTTGGAGGTAGTGGAGAAAGTGCAAAGAAGTACTAGCAGTGGCAAACAGGAATTTCCATTCACATATCTTGGATGCCCAAAGTCAAGGTCTTATAAACAAAGTTCTGAATAAACTTCAAGCTTGGAAGGGTAAGATATTATCTATAGGAGGCCGGGCAGTGTTAATCTTCCATGTTCTCCAAACCATGCCAATCCACTTGCTTTCAGCTGTAAATCCTCCCAAGAATGTGATTGAAAAGCTTCACAAGATGTTTGCTCAATTATTTTGAAGTAGCTCGGTGGGAGGAAAGAAAAGGCATTGGTCTTCTTGGAGTAATTTATGTCTTCTAGTTAAAGAGGGGGGAGTAGGATTTAGGTTGCTACATGATGTATCCAAAGCTTTATTTTGCAAACTTTGATGGAATTTTCGGACTAAACCTACTTTGTGGAACTCCTTTGTAAGACAAAAATATTACAAAAAGATGAATGCCATTGTAGTACCATGGAGACGTGGTTCACATATTTGGAGAAAAATGCTCGAATGTAGAGATTTGATTGAGCACCAAATCTTATGGCAACCAAATACGGGATCCTCATTATTTTGGTTTGATAATTGGACAAGGCTAGGTGCACGATATTTTGTAACACCTCCTGATTGATTTGTTGATGAGACAGTGCACAATGTGTGTGAAATGGTGAGAGATGGAACATGGGATGAAGATAGACTGAGGAAGCTGTTACCTGATGATATTGTCATGCATATTTTGGAGAACATCAAACCTCCAGTTGAGTTTGATGAACTCGATATGCCTTACTGGATGTTGGAGAATAGAGGGGAGTTTAGTGTTAAGTCATCTTGGGAATACTTGAGGAAAAGGAGAGATCCTAACTTTGTAAATGACAATATGTGGGTGAAAGATATACCATTTAAGATCTCCTTTTTCATGTGGAGATTATGGAAAGGAAAACTACCATTGGATGACATTATAAGGAGATGGGGATACTTCATGCCATCGAGATGTTTGTGTTGTATAAATTCGGATGAAGAGACAATGGCTCATGTTTTTTTTTCAAATCATATACTGCTTCAAGGGTTTGGGCTTATTTCTTTTTCTTCGCAGGATTATCAATTGAAGGCCTAAATTTGCACCAAGCAGTGGTAAAATGTTAGACAATGCAGGTTGTTCCAAGGCTTAAGCCAATTTTTCAAGCCTTGTCGTGCATTATTGTGTGGGAATAATTGAAGAGAAGAAATAGTATGATGCACGGGGAAAGGGTATCTATTAGTAGGGTAATCTTTCAAGTGTCTTCTACTATTCAATCATTGGTGAAATTTAGAAAGCCCGGCATTCAGAGGGTGCCTCATAGATGGCCAGAATTGCTTCATATGATGGAAAATTATACACCAAAGTTGAAAACTTTCAAGGTTTTACGGGAGTTCCCTATGACTGGGTGGAGCTTCGAGGGGGAATCCAAGCAGGAGTTCAATAGGATTTTGCATTAGAGATGAAGGGGGAGATATTATTTATGCTTGTAGAAGCGAGATACAGGAGACTACAAACACAATGGAAGAAGCTTTAGCGATTCAGGAGGCATTGAGGTATGCTGCCCAAAACAACTTTAATTACACATGGTTACAAACGGATTCCATGTTGCTTAACAATATAATTGAAGGATATTAGAAACCACCTTGGGTAATTGTTGATCATGTGGATGAAAATAAAAAGGCTACTAGAAAGGTGTACTTCTATGGTATCGCATAAATTTAGGAAAGGTAACAAGCTAGCTGACCATCTTGCAAATTATGCTCTTGAAAATGGCACTTTTGAATGCCATGGATTCTGGTAGCTTGATACACAAGGAAGAAGAATTGTGAATGATGATAAGCTACAATGTCCATATTTATGATGGATAGTTTTCATTCACTTTTCTTAATTTCACTTGATTTTTTTTTTATCATACAAATGCCTAGAATACATGGGGTTTATAGTAAGATTCCTACATGCATCTAGTCTACTTCTTATGTGGACATACTAATTATGTTCAGATAAGTTCACTCATTACATAAATAAGTTCACACCCTAGTACATGTATGTAGCTACTAATCTAGTTCATGAACTAATGTGAACTAGTATGGACTAGTGTAGACAAGTTTGAACATATGTGAACAAGTCTAGAGAAATGTGAACATATGTGAACTAATGTGAACAAATGGGGACAAGACAATATATTAATTTTAACACTCCCTCTTAATGTTTTATTCTTGGACTCCCAAAAGCTCACGAAATTTGATGAACTTCTCCTTGGGTAGCGCCTTGGCAAAAATGTTCGCAACTTGATCCTCGGACTTGCAAAACTTTGGCTCGATCACTCCTTCTTCAACTTTTTCTCTGATGAGTGATACTTCACTGCTATGTGCCTTGTTCTGCTGCTGTAAATCGAATTCTTTGCCGTTGTTATGGTTGACTTGTTGTCACAAAACAACTTTGTTGTGTTGTCTTGCTTTTCTCCAACATCTTCTAAAATTCTTCTAAGCCAGACTGCTTGAGACGTTGCAATTGCTACTGAAATATATTCAGCTTCTGCTGATGATTGTGCTACTATTTCTTGCTTCTTTGATTGCCAAGAAAATGCTCCCGATCCAAGCGAAAACACAAAACCAGATGTGCTTTTCATGTCATCTTTTGAACCTGCCCAATCATTGTCACAAAATCCAATTAAAGTTAATTCTTCACCCTTGAAATATTTGATGCCATAAGCCAAGGTTCCTTTGATGTAACGAAGAACTCGTTTGGCTGATCCAAGGTAAATATGACTGGGACTTTGCATAAACCTTGACAACAAACTAGTAGCAAACATTATATCGGGCCTCGTAGCCATTAGATACATCAAACTACCAATGATGCTTCTGTAAAGAGTGCTGTCCACTTTTCTTCCGCCATCATTTTTCATCAGCTTCTCATTTGATGTGAGTGGTGTTGGTACTGCTTTGCACCCAAACATATTAAACTTTCTAAGCATTGCTTCAGCATAGCTTTGCTGAGAAACAAATACTCCATCATCCTCTTGAGTAACTTCAAGACCAAGAAAATGATGCAATAGACCCAAAACACTCATTTCATATCTTTCATCATGTCTTTTTTGAACTCAGTAACTGCGGCCTCATTGTTACCAGTAAAAATCAGATCATCAACATAAATCTCAACAATAAGAATAGAGTTACCTTGCTTCTTGACATAGAGAGTATGCTCGCGTTTGCTTTTAATGAACTCACTTTGCAAGAAGTACTTATCAATTTGACTGTACCATTGCCGGGGTGCTTGTTTCAATCCGTACAAGGCCTTCTTGATCTTGTATACTTTATCTTCTTCTCCTTTAATCACAAAGCCATCAGGTTGATGGACATAAATTTTTTCTTCAAGTTCACCATTCAAAAAAGTTGATTTCACATCAAGTTGATATAATAACCATCCCTTTTGTGCTGCTAATGCAATAAGTGTCCGAATTGTATCAGCATGTTGTGATTACCCTTTTGCAACCAATCTTGCTTTGTGCTTCATGATGGAGCCATCTGGATTTTTTATCTTGTAAATCCATTTTACTCCAACAATTTTTCGATTTGCTGGCTTGTTTACCAACTCCCAAGTCTGATTTTTCTCAATCATATATAGCTCTTCTGCCATAGCCTTCTTCCAAACTTCCTCCTTAACTGCTTCTTCAAAACTTGCTGGCTCAACCATGCTATAGTTGCATGAAGCATAAATGTCAGCAAGGTCTCTCATTTTAACCGGAGTACTTGTCGGACTCGAAGTGCTAGAGCTTGCTTCGTTGCTTGAAGGTGAGGAAGGATCAACTTCTGGAACTTCTTCCTCCTTATTTTCTTCTTCATTCTCAGCCACCACTATATTTTTTGTAGCCTCATTCTTTTCCCAATTCCAACTGGCTCCTTCATCAAACAACACATCTCTGCTTGTGATGACATTTTTCCTCTTCAAGCTATACATTCTATAGCCCTTTGATTTTGAGCTATAGCCAACAAAAATGCACTTCTCACTTGTTTCATCAAGCTTGCTCCTCTTTTCTTTCGGGATTTGAGCATAGCAAATGCACCCAAAAACTTTCTAGTGCTTCACTGAAGGTTTCCTCTTGCTCCAAGCTTCCAATGGGGTCTTATTTTGCACTACCTTGGTCGGACACCTGTTTATCAAATATACCACCGTATACACTGCTTCAGCCCAAAAAATATTTGGCATTCCTTTCTCTTTCAACATAATTTTTGCCATTTCAACAACCGTTTGATTCTTTCTTTCGGATACACCATTTTGTTGTGGTGTGTACCCAACGGTTAGTTGCCTTTCAATGCCTTCATCCTCACAAAATTTGTCAAATTGTTTTGAGGTATATTCTTTACCTCGATCACTTCTTAGCACCTTTTTCCACTTTGTTTTTCCACAAGGGTATTGAATTTTTTAAAAATGCCATACACCTCGGATTTTTGTTTCATAAAATAAACCCAAGTCATCGTGTATAGTCATCAATGGACAAGATAAAATACTTGTTACCTCCAAGAGATGTGGTACTCATTGGACCGCACATATCGGTATGGACCAGCTCCAAAGCTTTGTTTGCTCTCCAAGCTCCGCCTTGAGGGAATGAGTTTCTATGGTGTTTTCCCATAGCACATCCTTCACAGACTCCATCCTTTTCTTCAATTTTTGGCAGCCCATATACCATTTCTTTTTCCTGCAATAATTTCATTCCATTAAAGTACAAGTGCCCTAGCCTTTTGTGCCATAGCCAGGATTCATCTCTCACTTGTGCTTTCGTGGCTACTTCTCCCCCATAATTGAAGGTTAATGAGAAGCTTCTTCCTTTTTCCATGATTGCTTTTTCCATCAATTTGTTTCCTCCTTTTTATCATAAAATTATGCAACAATTATTTTTAAAATAGACAGCATATCCATTCTCCACCAGCTGCCCAACACTCAATAAATTTTGATCTAAATCTGGAACCAAAAGTACATTATGGATGAAATTTGTACCTTCCTTTGTTTGGACACGGATTGAACCCTTTCCAATTGCTCGAACAACGACACCATTTTCCATTTTCACTTTGGCCTTCACTTTGTCATCCACACTTGTAAAAATACTTTTATTTCCGGACATATGATTGCTGCACCCGCTATCCAACAACCAAATATTGTGATTTTTCTCTTTGGCCATTTGACAGCTTGCAAAGAACAGGCCTTGCTCTCCTTTTTCTTCACAGACTTTTGCTTGTTGTTGATTGTTGAATCTACAATCCTTCTCCACATGACCAAACTTTTTGCAGTGGTTGCATTGTGGCTTTCCTTGAAATCAACAATCCTTGTCAACGTGGTTGCTTCTTTTGCAAATTCCACATTTTTATTTAGAGTTGTTGGAGCTGTTTCCTCGTTGATTTCTTCCTCCTCCACGACCTGATTTGCCTCCTTTTGATGATTCTCCTTGTGATTTTGTGGACACATTGAGCTTAGATTGTAAAGCACTCTCAATAGATTTTTTGGAGTGTCTTAACAACCTTTGCTTGTGTGCTTGTAGTGATGCCATCAACTCACAGATGTTCAACTTTGTGATGTCCTTAGTCTCCTCAATAATAGAGACTATGGGATCATATTTTTCAGTCAAACTTATCTAGATCTTTTCCACAATTTTCTTATCTTCAACGGCTTCTCCATACAATAGCCTTTGATTTGCTATTTCAACAACATTGGAGCAATATTATTTTAAACTTTCTTCATCTTTCATCTTCAAGTTTTCAAACTCACATCTTAGAGTTTGAAGCTTGATGTTTCGTACACATGTATCTCCTTGAAATTCCTCACGTAGAGCCTCCCAAGCCTCATTTGATGTTCTGGCTCTCATGATTCTTGGAAAGATGACTTCACTCATTGCTTGTTGAATATAAGCAAGAGCTTTTGCATCTCTCCTTTTTGTCTCCTTTAGTGTTCTTGTTTCTGCATCTGTGAGTTCTGCTCCTTCTTCTGGTTCATTATAACCATTTTAATCCAGTTCCCACAGATCTTGTGCTTGAAAAACTGTTTTAGCTTTCAAGTACCATAAATCATAATTTTCTCCATTGAACATAGGAATGGATAGTTGAGCCACTCCTTGCCCATTAGTTAAAGCCATTGTTTAGCTTTTCTTAACGCCCAACTTTTCAATCGAACGGGCTTTGATACCAATCCGTTGGATTGAAGTAGGAAGATTAGTGATCAAAGAGGAAATCAAAGAGAATTTTTTTTTATATTTATGAAGGATAGTTTTCATTCACTTTTCTTAATTTCACTTGATTTTTTTTAATCATACAAATGGCTAGAATACATGGGGTATTTATAATAAAACTCCTACATGCATCTAGTCTACTTCTTATGTGGACATACTAATTATGTTCACATAAGTTCACACATTACATAAATAAGTTCACACCCTAGTACATGTATGTAGCTACTAATCTAGTTCATGAACTAATGTGAACTAGTATGGACTAGTGTAGACATGTTTGAACATATGTGAATAAGTCTAGACAAATGTGGACATATGTGAACTAATATGGACAAATGGGGACAAGACAATACATTAATTTTAACATGAAGAAACAACACTGTACAGTTATTCATCTTGCTGGGCAAGCGTGTTCGTGATACTGAGAAGGCCACTCCTTCAACTATGGATGCAAAGGTGTTATATGAAATATCTCCCTACAGGGATGGTTTTTTTGTACTGCTTGGATACAGTACTTCGCACGGATAGTATCAGATCAAAATGTAATACCAATTTTGAGGTTCATCAACTCAATTTGGTAATAGGTGCTATGTAATTCTTTACATTGTGTAAGACTCTACACTTTGTTGTTTTGTTTTTATTATTTCATATATATAAAAACCAGCCCCAGGCACTTTGCCTAGTGAATTTTACAAAAAAAAAAAAAAAGATGTATTATTTATTCATTGGATTGGTTGCCGATAAGTATTTACCTTTCGGTCTCCCATGGTCATTTAAGTTTCATTTACCACTAGAGTGCCATTTAGTATATCCATATATTTGGTCTTAAAAAATAACAGTTGACACGTGATTGCTTTTCCTTTTTTTAGAATCCTCTTTCGCATGGAATATTATGCCTAGTGAAAGCATACAATAACAAAATGGAAAGGCGTAACATGTTCACACTATTATGAAGTAAGTCCACAAATGATAAATAGTCCCTGCATCTTCGCATCTGTCAATTTTAACTGAAATTAATCTTTTGCCGTTACTATCCTTATTCATTTCAAATCTTTCTATTTTAGGGATTGAACTACATAAACATTCAATTGTTGTTTAATTTTGAAAAGGATGCTTTGGTACCATTCTATATCGATACTTGTAGTTGTTGATGCTACTTTATTGTTGTGGGCAATTTGTGGATAGCTTTCACAAGTGGTCCAACAAATAAATGTTAAGAAGAGTAGCTTATAATGACTAGAGAGCACGGATTAATCATCCTAATACCTTTTATCCTAGCCTTGAAGGGTTACAACTAAGATCCAATCATTTGCAAAAGAAGAAAAAACTAGAACAATTTATTCCTCTAATTTTCCTATATATAGAAAATCTTAGTAATAAGAAGATTTAATTGAATAGCGAACACAATCATGATTCAATAGATCACTAATCATGCATATCCAATATATAAATTTGATTCTAACATGATTAGTCTAAGAATTTAGTTCCTTAAATTTTATTTTGATACTGTATGACTATGATAAAAGGTAGTATTAAGAGGTCTAAGTCCCAAAATAAAATTGATTCATCGAAGATAGATGAAATTAAAGAAGCACATGACATGCTTGTAAGGACATCGTAATAAATCCTTGTGCTTAAAACTCGTTTGTAGTTTTCAGACTAGTCGCTATCATCTAAAATTGAAATAAAACAAGTTACCAGAACTAATTAAAGAAGATAGGAGTATTATTTTTGTTCCTCTCATCTTTTTTATGGCCGGGTAGCACTCTCTTAATGGAAGTGGAGCCTTCTCTTTATATATCTAACCACATGCCTTTCAACTCAGTATAACCCTAACAACAATAACATCCCTT